TCCCATTCCCATTCCCATTCCCATTCCCGTTCCCATTCCCAGGTCTCCCGGGGATCCCTGGCCACGCTCTGGATGGCCGTGCGGGCGATCGGGGCGCTGTGGGGTGGCCGGGGGAGCCGGGCAAGCCGGGCTCTCCGGGTCCCGCGGGCTTGCCCGGGTTCTGCGAGCCGGCCGCGTGTCTCGGAGCCTCGGCCTACGCGGCCGCGCGCCTGCCGGAGCCGGGGGCTGTCAAAGGACCCCTGTACTGAGAGATCCCGAGGGAAACACACCCCGGAACAACACAGTGAAATTCCCGATGGAAAATGGACCCAAACACCAAAATTCCCAATGGGAAACCCACCCCGGAACAACCCCGACAGTGAAATTCCCGATGGGAAATCCCCCCCGGAACGACCCCAACGGTGAAATTCCTGATGGGAAATGGACCACAAAACAACACCAAATCCCGACGGGAAATCCACCTTGGAACAACCCCAATGGTGAAACTCCCGATGGGAAACCCACCCTGGAACAACCCCGATGGTGAAATTCCCGATGGAAAATGGACCCAAACACCAAAATTCCCAATGGGAAATCCACCCCGGAACGACCGCAATGGTGAAATTCCCGACGGGAAATCCCTCCCGGAATGACCCCGACGGTGAAATTCCTGACGGGAAATCCACCCCGGAATGACCCCGACGGTGAAATTCCCAATGGAAAATTGACCCAAACACCAAAATTCCCTATGGGAAACCCACCCTGGAACAACCCCAACGGTGAAATTCCTGATGGAAAATGGACCACAAAACAACACCAAATCCCAACGGGAAACCCACCCCGGAACGACCCCGATGGTGAAATTCCCAATGGAAAATGGACCCAAATGCCAAAATTCCCGATGGAAAATGGACCCCAAAACAACACGAAATCCCGAAGGAAAATCTACCCCGGAACGACCCTGATGGCAAAATTCCCGTTGGAAAATGGACACCAAAACACCAAATCCCAAAGGAAAATCCACCTTGAAATGGCCCCAACGACAAAATTCCTGATGGAAAATGGACACCAAATCCTGAAGGAAATTCCCTCTGAAATGACCCCCAGAGACAAAATTCCCAAAGGAAAATCCCGTTTCAAAGTGACCCCGATGCCAAAATTCCCAATGGAAAATCCACCCCAAAGGGACCCCAATTCCTGATGGAAAATCCGGTTTTGAAGTGACCCCAAAGGCAAAATTCCCAAACAAAAATCGACCTCAACCCCAAAATTCCCGACAGAAAATCCCTTTTTGAAGTCATCCTTTTTTTAACACCGGGATTTTAAATAAAAATTCCCCAAAATTGGGATTGTAAATAAAAATTTCCCTAAAATTGGGTTTTTTAAAAAAATCCCCTGAAATCGTGGTTTGGTTATTTGTGAGGTTTCCCAAATTCAGCCTCGTTCCCAAATCCTCATAAAATATGAATAAAAATAAGAAAAAAAAAGGGAATATTTTATAATTCTGATAAAAACCCAACAACTTTTGGGAAAAAAATCAAACGGAGCTGGATTTTTCAAAGCTGGGATGTTGTGTGSGTTTTCTTGGGATCAAAGGAAGGCTGTGGTTTTTAAAAGTTCCCGAAAAATAATAAAAAAAATGAATCCCCCCAAAAATAAAAAAAAATCCCCCAAAATATTCTCAAAAAAATTCTCCTCAAAATAAAAAGAAATCCCAAAAATTCCCCAAAAAATAAAAATAAAAAAATTGCCAAAAAAATACCCCAAAAAAATCTCAAAAAAAAAGCCCAAAATTTAAAAAATTTTAAAAAATCCCCCCCAAAAAAACCCTAGAAAAACCCAAGAAGCCTCTAAAAAAATCCCCAAAAAGACTCCAAAAACCCCCCAAAAAATCCTAAAAATTTCCCCGCCAGAGGGCGCTCCAAGACCAGTAAATATCGCGATGTTCCCCATAAAAATCCTGGGATTTGGGATTTGGCCCCTCCTGTTCCTACAGGAGCAAAATTCATTGGGATTTAGGATTTGGGATTTGGGATTTTGGATTTGGGTCCGTCCTCTCCCTAAAAGGAAAAACATTCATTGGGATTTGGGATTTAGGATTTGAGATTTGGATACACCCAGGATAAATCCGGGATAAATCCGGGGATAAATCTGGGATAAATCCATGAATAAATTCAGGATAACCCCACGATAAATCCAGGATAAACCCATGAAAAATCTGAGGTAAATTCAGGGTAAATCCACGGATAAATCCAGGATAAATCTGGGATAAATCC